CCGAGCTCCTCCACCATAGCCAAGGTGGAGAGCTGGGCGCCCTTCTTCTCCACAGCGCTGCTCTAGACTAGCGCTCCAACCAGCGCTCCAGCAGCGTGACGCCAAACTTGCATGCAACAAAATGAGGAGGGGAGGGGGGGGGCTACGGCGCACAACCCCTGTGTAGTATTCAACTGCCACAAGGCCCAGCATTTGAGGTATCGAGTGTGCTCTGCTGAGGTTCCCAAATGTGTGTGCTACTGAGCTCCAAGGAGTGTGCTCTATTTGAGTTCTGTCCCAACTCCAGTGGGGGTGTCCCAGTCGATCGAAAGTGGTATTCGAGGTGCTTTGCTGAGGTCCTGAAATGCGTGTGCTACTGAACTCCGGGCAATGTGGTCTATTTGAGTTCCCAAGGGTATGTACTATGTACTGTCCCAACTCCTGTGGGGGTGTTCCATTTGAACGAAAGCAGTATTCGAGGTATGATGAGCGTGCTCTATTTGGATCCCGAGACGCGTGTTCTCCTGAGGGCTAACGAGTGTGTTTTATTCGAGTTGTAAATTTTGAGTCCTAATGAGGGTATTTGAGTGTGCTACTGAGCGATGACGAGTGTGTATTATCGGCACTTCACAGCGGATGTCCTGTTGGAGCCGAAGACGTTGTGTTGTAAATTTGATGGATGAGGGGTTGTCTTTTTTTTTTTTTTTTTTTTTTTTTTTTTTTTTTGGTCGATGAAATGATGCGGAGGGGATGTCTGTTCTCTGCGTTTGGGAAGGGAGGTCTTGAAGCAAGCACAAGGGGTGTTTGAACCTCAGACTGGAAAGCCTAGCACACATTAGTTCACTGCGTAGTCTGTACGTCTTTTTTGCTCGACCTTGCGAGGAATCGAGCCGGTGATCTCTGGCTCAACAACCGGACGCCTTAACCACTGTAGTTAAGTTTGTTTCAAGTTCGCGTAATCGTAAGCTGCCACTCTTTGGGCCACACATGGTTGGAATCACATCATGACCTCCTCGGAATGGCAGCACACCCTCGCAGCTGCTCAGATGGTCGGCTTTAGACACGTGTGCCACATACAATGGACATACTCACACTAGGACTGACCCCAATTGAGGCCTGTTCTGGATGTACCTGACCACGATTTGGTCAGGAGGTTCTTCAAAAAAGTCCTAGTATTCAGTATGCTGAAAGAAAAGAAAATTGTGCGTAGCTTACTGTGGTGTGAATGATGCGAAGTTAACCCGCTCAGATTGGCCAGAGCCAAAAATAGCCGCATCACTGCTGTCAGAACATATGTGGGCAGTATGTGGACAACGCAGACGGTCAGGTACATTATGACTGAGCTATTTTTTGTCCCTCGGCAACCTCAACAATCTGTTTCTTTTTCCCTTCCCTTCTCAAAGGTCTGACTGCCAGTGACTGGCCTAAAAGTCAGTAGGCCAATTAGGCAACAGCTGTACTCAGCCTACATGTCTGGCAGACTTGCATAATGGAAAAGAAATGAGCACAGCTGTGCTCAGTTTTTTTCCCAAATGCATTTCGCAAAATTCGAGCCCTGAAATGGCTCGAAGCCAGTAGACCCTACTGCCCTGACCAAACTGCAGGCTTTTCAGGCCTTCGAAGAACAACTGTGTATGGTGTGCGAGCCTGTACGGTGTTATTGATTTACTCTGCCATTTCAGGTAATATTATTTTCTCAAAAGCCCTAAAAAACAGTAAAAAAAAAACAGTATTTAATAATTACACTAATTGCTAGCCAAATGAAAAGCGATGCACAGTCACGCACTTCTTTCGCCCACAGGTTCAATTTCCAAAGTGGGTTTTCCACAGTAATGATGGCAGCATCCCTCAGGCAAAGGCAGTATGGAGGTTGGGATCCCTTCTTCTTTTTTTCCTTCTTCTTTTTGTGAGACCGGGCCTTATTGTCCTGGCTCAATATTCATTCTGGGGGAGCAACAGTCCAGTTCCTTTTCCACCAGCAAGTAGTCGTATAGATATACATCATAGACATCGACGTTACACACACATGCTTCCTTCCGTTTGGCCGATGGACCCCGGAACAAACAGCATTGATTACTCCGCTCTCGTGCAAAAGAGTGGAGGATTGACTGCCAGCTTGCCTTTCTTCTAGAATCCCTCCCAGCAACACGCCGCAGCAAAAAAAGCTGCTGGATCAACTTAGCGCCTCACTCCACTACACAACGCTCTATATGTATTTGAATTTTGAATGCGTTCTGAACCCGATGCACTCAAAATGTTGGACTTGTCCGAATGCACCTGGTCCAGAAAGCGGGGAAATGCATGTAGAGTGCTGTGTAGTCGAGCGAGCCGCTTATACATCAAAAGGGTTCTGATTCTTCTGAAGGAAAGGCGCACAGCTCACACATGCTCCTCCCAGCTCTTCCCTTTTCCAAGTGAGAACTTGGAACGAAAGAAATCTACTCTGGGAGATGTCACTTCGGCTCCACTTTCCATCAACAAAAGCACTAGCCGTCAAGCGTTGAATCTTTCTAAATGTGCTGAGTCCTTCTGAATGCACTGAGTCCTTCTAAATGCCCCGAGTCGTTCTAAATCTGTAAAAGCCTAAAAGGTTTAAACTTTAAAGACATGAGTTGGGTTGTCCATGCGTGCGCAAAAATACAAAAACAAAAATCCACTATGTGGGAATGCGCTCAGTCTGGGCTTCCACCCTGTTGTTGTCTGTAATGAATCTGCATAAAATTCGATACATGTACGTTTCATCTCACCTCACTGAAATGTAATGGGCATGGAGGAAGGAGGAGGAGGAGGAGGAGGAGGAGGGGGAGGAGGAGGAGGAGGAGGCTTTTTCTGCTGCAGAGAGGCCTCTGTCAAAGAAAATGTGCAGAAAATTGCCAGAAATCTTTTCTGATTTCGGCATGTACTTGATGGTTCCTGCAGGCGAGAGCAGCATCCCTTCTCCATCTAGCCCCATTTTCCCTTTCAGGAGGCAACTGCAAAGAAGAAGAAGAGAAGAAGAAGAAGAAGAAGAAGAAGAAGAAGAAGAAGAAGAAGAAGAAGAAGAAGAAAAAGAAGAAGAAGAAGAAGAAACGGCGGGCGAAAAAGGACAGGACGAAGAAGAAGAAGACAGGAGGA